TACATGTTGCCCGACGTTTGGAATCAAAACGAGACTCACATTCCGAACCAGTTCCTCTCGGCGCACTGGAGTCGGTGAGAAAAGGTGAAGCAGTGCATCTTCAGCAGGTTGAAGAAGGTGTAGCCCACCACGTCAGCTATGCTGTCATTCGCCTCCATCAGGCAGCTGCGAAACCTGGAGCGCAGAGAGCGTAGTGGGGGAAGGGGGACCGTGAGCAAAATCACAGATAGCGGCGATTTTGTCCGCTGGGGACGGAGCAGGCTTGGTTTGGGAGGCGGCGAGTTACTTGTCATCGCAGTCACAGTGGGACATGGTAAAGATGTTGCTGTTGAAGACGCCGAAGTCGGACTGGAAGGACAGGATGGTGTGTTTGCACTGGTCATGCTCCCTGCAGCAGCTGTCTGTGTCTGAAAACACACCTGCAAGAGGGGAGAGTGTGGAACAGGAGTTTTACTCAGAAGAAGTGGTTATGAGTTTTCATAAAGCACCTTTTATTGATGCGCAATTAACATCATAATCTTTTTTTTTTTAATGGATTATTTTGCACATGTTGCCTTGGAAACCCACATGGAGAAAAACAAATATGAATACAAGAATGTTATGGGCAGGTGAGACAACAGACGTTGGTAGGATGAGTCTTTCAAAACCTAAGACGACTTGACTGACTGTAAAGCATGGTGGTGGAGGCATCATGCCGTTTTGCAAAAATGTTGAAAAACTATCAAATTTTTTCAACACAAATCAGCAGCTAAATGGTTATTATTCAACAGGACAGTAGATACATCAAAACTTTTTCAGAAGTATTTTTTGTCATAGGTAAAATAGACTCGGGATTTACTCTACTGAAACTATGTGGCGTCATTAAGATATTTATCTTAATTTGTGTTTTATGGCTTTAGAAGAAGCCATAAAACTATAAACATTAAAAAATAGACAAAATGTAATGTTTTGTTGGTTGTTTCATAATTTCTTGTTACTGCGTGATGATTTTATCACGTAAAAACTTTGACCTACCATGTCGCTGAAATGGTTGCTATAAACTTGACTTATAATTTTGATTCTATGTGGATTAGAGAAAATTCTCAATAAATTAAAACTTGTGCAGCAAAATTCTGCTTTTGAAAATCAAAGTGGCATTATACAATCATTTAAACTTGGATTAGAAGGCCTAAAAAAAATAAAGATTACATTAATGTCCACGATATATACCTGGATCATAATAACATCAGAGCCCTGCAACTTTGGATTCCATCTGATTTTTCTCTTTTGTTGCTACTTTCCTAGCCATTTTTAAACCCAAAAGGTTTTTGACTTTGTCCTCAAACCTTACAGAAAGTTTCTCAAATACGCCAATAGAGACCAGCAGGTCTGGTACCAATAACTACCCCACATTAAATCCCCATTCTTCCTTCCTCTGATGTGCCATTGAACTTCAGCAGGTCGTTTTTATCTAGAAGCCCAGATGTCTAGTTGTCTATATAAATACACTGAATTGCCATCATTTTACAGGCCGATTAGCTGTTTGATAAGATAAACGGTTATATCTGATAAAGTGGCCAGTGAGAGTATAACAAATCATAACTGCATTTATCAAATGGGACATAATAAGGCTGATAAAACTTTGTGATATAACTTAAAGTTTTATCACTATACTTTGCGGTAATATTGTGAAAGCAATAAAAGTGATGATAAAAACTGTTTATAGTTACTTTTTAAGTGGCTGTGGCGCAGCAACCATAGCAATTTCTAATACTTAAGACGCCATCACATAAAAAGTTTAGGTAACACTTTATTTGAAGGGGGGTGAATAAGACTGACATGACACTGTCATAAACATGACATAACACCTGTCATGAACATGAATAAGCCTTCATGAATATTTATAACTGTTGTCATAAAGCGTCATTCGGTAAATTATGACACTTTTAATACAAAGTTGACATTATTCAAAATGTCTTTGTTATGACAACTTGACATTAACCAGGAAATTATTACTGTTTAAACTTTACCTTTAATAACATAAAGTTACCTAATTTTTAAAGTGCAATCAATAATACTTTTATAACAAATTTATATCAGTAACGATTTCTTGGTTAATGTCAAATTGTCATAACAAAGACATTTTGAATAATGTCAACTTTGTATTAAAAGTGTCATAATTTTCCGGATGACGCTTTATGACAACAGTCATAAACATTCATGAAGACTTATTCATGTTCATGACAGGTGTTATGTCATGTTTATGACAGTGTCATGTCAGTCTTATTCAACCCCCTTCAAATAAAGTGTTACCAAAGTTTGAAACTGCATTTAGAAATATTTTCTAATTTATTGATATGTTATGATACACTCATTGAACAAACAGTGGAGAAAATACTAAAACTAACAATCCAGACATTATGGATGTTTTTTTTTTTTTTTTTTTTTTTTTTTAACAATTACAATGGAAAATAAAAAGTAAAAAATTTTG